GAACTGACTTGTATCAGGAGGTCTGTGGATCCTAGTTTTTTAATATATTTTGTTTTGTGTATATCGAAATGTTTTAGGGACTTGTGTATCTTAAAAACGCTTAGTGTAGTGAGATTTGTATCTTGTTTTTCATCTTTTGGGGAGATCACAGAAATGGTGACCACCCCAACGATTTCCTTTTTGGTAGGTCCCAGATGCTGACATGGTCAGCATCTTCGCCCGAAAGGCCCTTCTTTCTCTTGCCCAGGCCAGGAGTTGCACCTGCTTCTCCTGTCTGGAACTTGTTGGGAATTGGGGTGGGAGAAATGATTATGATTGAATCCATGTGTGTTTTGTTTTTTATTCATCGCCAGGGCTCCCCACCCGCCACCGAGTCCAACAAGGGGACACCACTCGGAAGTCCATAGCTGGTGTCAAGGCTACCCTGGAGGTATACTCCCAATCAGACGGCAAGAAATCTTGCCTTCTAACCAAGATTGGTCAAAAACCGGTTCTATGAACCGGTCGCAACCGATTGAGTGCAGTAGGCAGTGTTGCCATTCTTAGTTTTTTACCACTAAATTTAGTGTTTTTTTCGGTCGATTTAGTTTTTTAGTTTTTTTGCAGCACATTTAGTGGGTTTTTGTTTTGATTTGTATTACTTAAAACAATCATATAAAATTGATTAAAGAATTTTGTCGTTCTTTTGTTAAACGTTATAAACCAAAAATAAATGCATAAATAAAGGCGAAAATGATGACTATAGTGCAAGAACAGTCTAAAATCTGGCCTGTCTCAAGATTATCAAGAATCATAGATATACAATAGGCCTATATATACGTGGCGTCGGTAGCCTAGTGGTTAGGCTACCTGACTCATAATCGTGAGATTGCAGGTTCGGGGGTTCGAGCCTCAGCTCGGTCCGACGTTGTGTCCTTGGGAAAGGCACTTTGCACGAACTTCCCACTTGGCTCGGTCCTATCGGAGACGGACGTTAAACTAGGAGGTCCCGCCCCTTAAATAACCTAATAATGTTAATAGGGGCCTTAAACCCATACCATTTAGGCCTATATATTATGAATATGTTTGCCTGGTCAGAAATAAAGAACCAGCTATTACAGTTTTTTTTTTAAAGGAATAAATATGTAATATAAGGCAGATAAACATTTTTAACGGTTTTTTTCGTCCCATTTAGTGGATTTTCCCCAAAAATTTAGTAGTCTCTTAAAAATCGGGATGGCAACACTGGCAGTAGGCCACTGCACCCGCCCGTCTAGACCGAATCCAGGGCCAAAGTGACGTGTTGGTGAGGAAAGCCACACCTCAGCCACCAGGGTCCCCTTCTCCGGTCGTACGGGTCGCACCCCACGGTCAACGGGGTGCCTAGCGTTACGGGTATTTGGGGTCTATTCTTTGCTGGACCGGACCTTCGGTCGACAGAACGGAAAGAAAGATAGATGGATAGAAGACATAGCAAAAGCGGACAAAAGATGCCACCCCTACGTCAGAGAGCTAGTGACGTACGAGTGGCATCCCACCGGGGGGGTTACACCCCCTGTTGATGGGACAGCCAACTATTTTTATTTTATTCCCCGGTCAGCTCGGGAAAGGACGAAAGAAGAAGGAAGAAAGACGATAGAAGACAGACGATACACCAAAGCAAGTGTCGCCCATGTGCACCTGAGCGTAGATGTCCATGGGCGCCAAATCGCCAGTGAAGGGGTTGCACCTCCTGCTGGCGGAGCAGTGGGTCTATTTATATCCCCCCGACCCACTGGGGGTGACTAGTGATACCTACCGGTACTCATGAATATAGCCTAATTTTTAGAAGGCTATTAATTTATTTAATTAATTTTTTTACAGTAAGGCAATGGTAACGGTTCTCAGCAGTTGCCAAGTAGATGGCCTGAATACGGAAACAAGTTCTAGGCACTCATGAGTCATTTCCCAACCACATGCAATAAGCCATCAAGGGCCAAGGTGATTTTATCGGCCTGTGAGAGGTCAGGGGTGAGTCCTCGCCTCATGCCCACACCGAGGTGTGGATGAGAATATCGGATCATGAGGTATCATATTGGTGGCTTTTTATTATTATTTTTTTTTTACCAGACAAGCTTATTATGTTGTTGTATCTTCCAGGTGAACTTGCTATAAACGACTGACTGCTTCAAAGTGCTGGATTTAACAAAACGAGATTACGGCTAGATCAAGATCTCGACAGCAGACGGCGAGACGCGAACAGTACACAACGAACGTTGCTAAGAGTCAGAGTTACCTCCCCTGACACGGAGATGATAGTTAAGTTATAGGCCAGGCCTAGCTTCGTAGCTTTCGTATTGTTGACTTTGAACTTTGAACTTTCCCATGCTGCTGCATTTGAATTTGAACTGACAATGACGAACTAGTTTTCTCTAGGGTTTACATTTGAGCCTTCCTGTGAATACATGTGAGCTGTCATAATTTGCTTACGTTTTCCATTTTGTTGAATTGGAGCTCTCTTTGTTTAATTGTTTAAGGCAGAGAAGGAGATGGGAGGACACCTTTACAGAGTGGACATGAAAGACGATGGATGACAATCTGAGGAAAGCAGAGGACAAAGATAAATGGCGAGAGCTGATTTTCAAATGCAGTGGTGCCCCCACTGTTGCCCCAACCACGGGATAGAAGAAGAAGAAGAAGAAGAAGAAGAAGAAGAAGAAGAAGAAGAAGAAGAAGAAAAAGAAGAAGAAGAAGAAGAAGAAGGAGAAGGAGAAGAAGAAGAAGAAGAATCCATTGGACAATTTTGATATTTGATCTTTCGCTGCTGCATTTGGTCTCTCTATTTTGATATTTGATCGGGAAAAAATATAAGCTATTGTGCAAGATGTAATTTATCAACTAGATCTAGATCTAACGAGTACAGCTCATGAAAAAAAATCTTGCGCAAGTTGGGCCAATTGTCATGTTCGCTCGTTCGATCTCGTTGAACCGTGAAGTTCGCTCTCGTGCACGGAAGCCCTTGAGTACAATGACATACCTCACGTTCTGTCCTCTTGAGTTGTGAAAGCATTAAAGATTGAGTGAAATCTGTACAGCGCGTGGACTACATACGCGTTTTACGTCTTTTGGTTGTTGGATAAATCAATCTAAAGGACCTGTCTCTAGATGATGAAACTTTAAACGTGACATAATAATGACTAAGGCTCCGGACAAATTAACAAACAAATAAAGTAACACTGAAAATGGTCGGCAGGAAATTATTTCTGTGACAGGTCAATTCTGCATTGTTATCTGTGCTCAACAGGATGTGACTGGTGTGCTTATTGGTCGGTATCGAGATCAAAATTGCAAGCCGGATATAGATCTATACAAACCCCTGCAGGGCTTGGCCCGATTTCCTGTCGGTAATAAATAGGCCCTTGATCTATTCCTCCAATTTCAAAAGCTGAAAACCGGCTGACAAGCGGATATCCTGTTAACCACATTTGTTGCTGTCGGAGGCTATAATTATTGCAGATATTTAGTTAGACCCGGTCACGTGGTAATAAGGCTTAGAAGTGAATGAACAATCGACAGGGGATTTTGCATGATTGTTTTGTTGTTTTTGTTTTGGGCGTTTCGCTGTATGCAAGTTCGATACTCTTTTTTCCCTTTCAAAAAAATAAATAAGAAATGGGGGGGGGGGGGGGGGGCTTGTCCAGTTGCCGGCAGATAGCTCTAAATAAAATTCATTGATCCTTAGTTGTTTTCTTTAATCTGGCATGGCAACCATGCTGGTACGTTTGCTCATTTAATTGGGGGGGGGGGGGGTTCCTTTCAAATGCGTGTATTACAAATACTCGATACACTACAATGACAGATTCCAAAGACGCTGTTACCGCAATGCAACTGAAGTTGTTAGCCTAGTCGTGATGGTGAGGGCAAGAGGGGATAAGCTTGATGCACAGAAGGGGAGGTGGAGGAGGAGAACAACAGAGTAACCGTAGATCGTATTGTCAGAGCACTTGATTCGACGTTTGCTTTCACTGCCATTTCATGCTCAAGTAATTGTATAGAAAGCCCTTTTATTAAGCGTATTCATTTATATCCGTTTCACACGTATATTGGCTTTATAGCCATCACAAATTAATAGTTTGTTAAATATTCTATGTTTCTCGTATATTTGAACCATATTACTCTAAGCCTAATTTCTCAGTGATTTCCGAGCACCGGACCAATCAGGAGGAGGGGGGATTCAGAGGGGCATGCCCCCCCCCCCCTCCGAGCCCTGAGAAAAACAAATCTGATGGGTTACAGGGGAGCCTGCCCCCTTGTTTTCCCCCATGATTTGATTTTTGTAAATTAAGTTTGAACATTTTCTTGAAAATATTGGTTAGCGACAATTTTAGTGGCCCTATGTGTGATCTTTAGCAAAATATACGACCGTTTCACCCTCAAAAGTAGGCTATTGTGTGCGGAAGTGAAAATAAAGATGTACCTAAAAAAATAAATCCCCACTCCCTTTCCAGTGCCAATCATACCCTCTTCCCAAGCCATCCGAATTCTTCAGCTTTCTAAGGAAATATTTATCTTATCAGTCAGCCTCATCACTGATAGGCCTATTCCCATGGCGCTCGTATCCCTACCTAACTAAAAGGTTGCACAATACAAGAACAATCACTCTTTTTGTGATGTCCAGAAAAAAAAATGTTTCAAATAACCCCAGCGGTAACGTCATCTTTATTATATTGGTCCTCATAGAGCACTACCTTTAAGGAGATGCGTATCTTGTACACTAAAAATAGGACCTCAGAATGCACTGAAAGAATTTTCAGAAAAGAAACAAAACATTTTCTAAAGCACCTTGGGCAATTCTTGTGTTTTCGCAAAGCGGAGGACGTACGCAGCTCTACATCTAGATCGGGTTATTATAATTTGACAGAAGACACTACCCACAACAATTTAAAAAAACAAAACTAAAAGATAAATAAAATCGAAGCGTGTAAGAAAGCTGCCTTAAGCAGTAGCGACAAAAACAAAATATTTTACTTGGGGGAACTCACCAAGATGGAGACTTTCCTTTTGCTGATCTTTAAGTTCAAATTGAGTAGAGTATCATAGCGAGCGTTCACCTGTATGATTAAGAGATATATTGATGATGGCAGTAATAATAAGGATAATAATGATACTTATAATAATATTTCTCGTAGCAATAATGGTAAAAATAAAACTTACACTTAATAATAATAACAATAACAA